TGCAGTATTAATTGACATCTTTAAAATGACACAAACAAAATGGAAACTCAAGTGAAGTAAAGAATTGATCGACATTAGCAGTGATGACAACGTTGCTAAAGCTGATTCTAAGAAAAAGATGCAAAGACATCTGAACTTAGGTGTACAGCAATTGAGGAATCTTTACAAGCATCTTCGACAATCATTTCCAAATCAGAAGCAACTAGCATTAGAAATACCGAAGAAATACCGAAAAGAAACAGCATACAGAAACAGCACAGCTAGAATCGTCTACTCTACAATCAGAAATATCCACAAAGCCAAAAAATAGTATGTAAGCAATTGGTGATAAATTGATGATAAATGGTAATGATAATGTTAAAGAAAATTCACAATTATAAAGAAAATTATAAAGGAAGATAAAATGTTTTTGTTTTTATCATTTTAGCCTACAAAAGAGATAAAACAATCATCAGTAGAAAACGACAAACAAAATGGACAATGGACAATTTTCAATCGCAAAAAAAGCGAAAATCATACCTATCACAGAATCAAAAGTTATATTTTCTAATATAAGGAAGTGACAAAGTCAAAGTTTTCAAAACTGTTTGCAAATTATTAATTCACATGAAACATCCTGAAATCTTTAACTGACTCGCTATATCCACCAAGAGGATTTTTACTTCATGAATCATCTGGATGTGGGAAAACATTACTGGCATATGCAATTGCGGGGTAAGATATCTAATTCCAGAAAATGTCTAAAATATACGCTACAATTAGAAATATTATTTATTCAGAGTATTATGATGAAAAACGATCAAATATAAGAGTATCTTATCTATTAAATACTATGCGCTTTTTTGATATGATAGTCCCACGAATATTTATACACTGAAATCATTCACCTCATCATATGAATCCGTTGCAGATGCTCGCAAGCTTGTTGAAATATTAAGTTTGGGGTTTATCGAACATACATCAGGTTGTCTCAAAAGACTTAAGCCACACAAATTTGATAAAAAGAAATTATACATCTATACTAGTATTATTTAAAATAAAGATTGACTATAAAAAATTTTCTAATATGACACATTTTTATATATCAGAGATCTCTAAATTATATTACAGAATAAAATCGTAATATAAATTTTATACATTTACCTAAATATGTGTGTAAAGGGCCTGTCAGGCCGAGTGTTGTTAAATTTCACCAATATGTTCGATACGTTAATGTGTTCTCTCATTAAAAACTCGCCACGGTACAAAACAGAGCCTACATGAGATTCGAGACATGAGCCGGGATGTATATGTCCACTGACAACTGTCATCGTTGTCAGTGGATAGCTAATGGGGTCGTTAACTAATGGCAACGTCAACTAAAGCCAATGATAAGGACGATCTTGGAAAAAAGCGCGGCTGTCATTGGCAATCGCTGATTAACGATACCAATAGTTGTTGGTAAGTGAGTACAGAATCCCGACCCTGGTTCTTGCACAATATCGCATGACAATTATAATATATAATTATTATTATAATTATTATAATATGAATCATCTATTAAATAACACTAACACTAAAAGAAGATAAAACTGAATATAATGCAATAACATAACATGCAATGTGTATGAAACTTGTGATAATAATTTGACATAATAATGCTTACAGTGCTTCGTAAAATATAGTCTGTAGCACTTGAATATATCCACACCTGACCAGTACAAAAATCGCTGATACACATGAGGCGCAATAGAGGAAGGTCGCTTTCGCATCCGATAATGACCGTGAAAGATTCATTTGGATTCTGACAAGCTCGTACTCCCT